GGTCTCCTGTGAACATTTTCATCTTCCCCGCCTGTTGTGAGAATTTTGCACGGAAAGGCTAAAACAGCCCCTTTCCTGTTTTAGGCAGCCCCAAGCCTCCGCTGTAACATTCATACATTTAAATAGGCTCTAATCGGGGGTTATCGAGTGCTCCTGCATGGAGGCGCTCAGGGCACATGTTGCAAAGGGTCTGCTTCTTGTGACCCACGCGTGCTCTCCTGCCTCATCAATCATGCACTTCACGTTTCTTTTTTTTAAGCAGGTAAGAATTCAAGAGACCAGGATTATCTTGTTTGCAGGAGTGACCTGGGACATTGGTCTGCCAGGAGGGGGCGAAGATTGCTGCCGCTGCTGTGTGTGTGTACGGTGGCGAGATGTTAACTGCTGTCTGGTATACAGGAGGTCGTGTTTTCGATCCCGACCATTACGCCTCTGTATATGTGGAGTTTGCATGTCTCTTTCCCTGTGGTTGCTTGGATTTTTCTCCGGATCCTCCAGTTTTTCCCTCCACATTTAGAAACATACGTTTCGAGTATTTGGATGCTATAAATTTCTACGTGATAAGCCACTTCATTCAGCTATCATTTGTAACCAGGTCGCTTATAAAAATGAGCTATATAGCTCAGTAGGCCTCACCTTGTAAAATAAAAATAGTTTCTAGTTTTTATAGTATAATCCCAATTGAGTAATTTGAGGTGTAGTTTTTAAGATTTTTTTAAAATTTGGACCTGGCTGCCTGGGCACACTACTATTGCGAATAACGTCAGTGGATCTTTAACGACCAGTGTGAAGCAGACGGCACGTAGAATAATAATGATTATAATAATCATTATAATTATTATAATAATTATGCTAATCATTCGAATTATGATTCTTACTACTACTACTACGGTTAATACCCCCGCAGTAATAATTGTGACGGCTTCTGCTTTAGAACCATGACCCTCTCTGCAACAGTCACTACCGCTGGGGGCCACGTCACCACCCTTGTTAGTCATTGAAGATGCTTTTAGAGGTCCAGGCTTCTCCTTGCGTACGTAGATCTCGTTTCATCTTGACCATCTGCCAGAGACTTTGTGCATATTCTTCTTTGGCTCTGAATTATGGAGATGTCATTATGAACTGGCCTGGGTTGATATGAACAGCCTCGATCTGTTTTCCCGTTCTGTGCTGTGTCACGCTGGATCACAGCTGCTCTTTCCGTGACTGACCTCTGACCAAGTAGGACATTTGCATTGGTATTTTTCTTTTCTTTTTACAAGGCATATAAAAGAATATTGTTCACGTGTCAAGTTTGTGCAGTCCATTGGTCAATTCTCGTAGTCAAAAGCACGATTGATTTTATTTGCACGATTGCAAAAGGACGTACAACAACATTTGGCTGAAGGTCTTTTTAAGTTTGTTGCCCAATCCATATGGAAATTTTACTCCAGTCCAAATTTACATTTTCTATATCTCAGAATTAGCAGGCATAGTTGTGATTGATCTTAAATATTGAATTCTCATTGTCTTTGTGCGTTGGATTGGCACATCAGGGTGTTGTTACCTTGGCCTGCCATTATCCACTCCTTCTACCCTTGTATTTTTTGATCGCCATGCAACGATGCATCTGTTCAGCGATTATTATTATTTTGCTCGTAATGCATTAAAAGAGTCGTGTGTGCATAAGGATCAATTGTTGATGATTTATGCAATTGATGTGTGAGTAATACAAGCTGATGGTAACACGGGCACGAGACTAGATGTAAAATATTCCATACGAGGTGGGACAAACATAACGACATTATAAGCGAGGTAAATAGTACAAATGAGCGACAATAAAATTTGAGACAGAACAAATGAGAAAGACAACAAATGATACAGGCAGTACAAATTGGGCCAACAGTATAAACGAGGCAGCCAGTGTAAACAAGACGGACAGCACCAATTGGGCTGTGCAAATGACAGACAATACAAAGAAAACAAACTAAACTAAAATATATATTTTTATTTTTACCAGGTAAGGCCCACTGAGCTGTATAGCTCTTTTTTTAGAAGCGACCCGACCATAAATGATAACTCAACGAAGTGGGCTTTTCATCATCACGTGGAAATTTCTAGCGGTCAAATACTCTAAGCACGTGATGGTGATTCTAAATGTGGAGGGAAAAACCGGAGGACCCGGAGAGAAATCCACGTGACCACGGGGAGAGAGAGAGACACGCAAACTCCAAATATACAACAGGCGTCGGGGTCGGGATCAAACCACACGACCTCCTGCATACCAGTCGAGGGAATTAACATCTCCTAGCCACCGTGGCGCCCCCCAGCGCAAGTTGAACGGACAATACAAATAAGATAGACAGGGCGGTGAAGTCCCCTATGTCATTTTACCGCTAGATGAAGGTCGTGCACCTTGTTGGTTATGAGGGTTTAACCATACTTCACGACGCCGATCGGTGTGGGTTAGTTTGAAGGCAGTTTGGGGGCATGGAACGGATTCAGACGTCAAAAGCTGACGTCAGACGTGCCCGGAAATTGAACTCGAGAACCTGGGATCATGGCACAGTGCGTTAAATGCCTTGCCACTGCCCTCCCGTTCGGCTTGCATGTCATTCTGTATATTAACAGCCCATAAATTGTTGTGTCAGCGTTGTGGTGGTAAAGTGGTGGTGGTCAACACTTGGAGCCGTTTGTGTGTACGAGTGAGTGTGACTTGCATGCCCTCTGTGCGTGTTTGCCTGCCGGCGCTGTGAGTGGGAGGGAGGTAGGGGACGTCTGTGGTCAGCCTCGGCAGAGTTCAGTTTGCGTGGGAGCACGTTAACGTGCCAACATGCGAGGATGTGACGTGGGCCGACTACACGTGTCACGCGTGCTAGGTGACACTTGAGAGCCCCAGGCACGCGGGCCCCCAATACCAACGAGGCGGTACAAAGAAAACGAACAGCAATTGACTTCTGACACAGCATCGTGACAATTAATCAAATTGCTTGTGGGTGTGGCTCATTAACGTGCCTTCTTTATTAAGTCTCAACCTGACCCACTTGGGCTTAGTCTCAATGTTTCTGCTGCTGATCGTGGGCCCTTCCCTGCCCTGTCGCAGTATTCTAGCTCACGAGGCATCTCAATCCCACCAGGCAGACCACGCTTAACTCCAACTTGTCAGCCCCCTCCTTTTGCCGCTGAATAGCCGGAGCGGAGTGAGGTGGAGATCTCTCGGCGCAAATTTTAGTTTCATTGCTCCATGCCCCCTCTACAACCATCGTTGGGTGGCATGGCAGGGTGGTGGCGCGGCGGTAACGCTTGTCTCGCGGCAAGCAGGGCCTGGGTTTGACGCCCAACTTCGCGCGCCTTTATGCGTGGAGCTTGTGCGCTCTCCCCGTGTTCTCCATAGGTTCCCTTCGGGTTCTCTGGATGCCTGCCGCGTGCCAAACGTTTTTCAACGTAACGGGAAATGGTTAAACGTCCCGGTGTTGAAAAATGACCGGCCAATGACTCAATTGGGGTTACGTGTAGCAACATCGTCCTCTCCTGTGAAAACTCGATCGGACGCCGGTGAAAGTGAGGTTTTTGTGGGTAAACAACGTGAGATAACAGTCGTGATTTTGTGTCATTTAAAATTACGTCTCATTCAGAATAACGATTATTGTTTACACAAGCGACTGTTTTCTCAGTCTCCTGCGAGATGAGCGCCTCCCCATGCACCATTAGTCCCAGGGTAATTGGACCATACTTCACCATGATGGACCATACTTCACTATGCTGGCCCATACTTCACCGTGCACACGGGTCGGTGAAGGTGGTGACCATAGACGTGGGAGCATAGAAGTGCTGTACTGTACTGTACAGCGCAGCAATACATTCATAGCACTGCTCTCTCCTGCCAACAATGCACTAGAAACATAATGAAGTAAACACGTAAAATTATATTACATTATGAATAATAAATACTAAAATTAATCTTTTACCGTCTCTCAAACCGCTTGTGGGTTGTTTACCATACTTCACAACGCTTGTCGGTGCGGTTTCCCAAAGGGGGAAGGGGGTAGTGACGTGCTGTCAATTCGGAGTAACCCCATTTAATAATTACTCGAGTCATCCAACTTTAATATCAATAAAGCACGTGGTGTGCAGCAATTACAGCCTCTCCACTGTCAATCTCGTCACTGTTTCACCATGTGCGGCTGAGAACTCCATCCTACCTTGCTTCAACGCTGCTTCCCGTCCAAAACGCGGCGTGGAATTTTAACTGCCCGTGATGAAATGCCGCTCCCCACAAATCCCGTAAGCGGAATGACTTTTCGCCGAGTGAAACTATTAAATGAAACTAAAACTGAACTTTTGATTTAAAGCTTTCGTGACTGCAGGGATTCATATTCTTGGTTCTTTCGGTAAAGTCACGTAGGAGGGAAACAATAAAATAATAAAAATATAAAACAATAAAATTCTCACGACGTTTCGACTGCAACACAAGCAATCATCATCAGGCGTGAAAACCACAATCATCATCAGGCGTGGTTTTCACACCTGATGATGATTGCTTGTGTTGCAGTCAACGTCGTGAGAATTTTATTGTTTTATATTTTTATTATTTTATTGTTTCCCTTCTACGTGACTTCACCGAAAGAACCAAGAATATAAAACTAAACTGTTTTAATTTTAGCAGGTAAGGCCTACCGAGTTATACAGCTCTTTTGTTTCATAAGCGACCTGGCCCCACGAATGAGGTGCGGGAGTGGCCTTGGAATGCCCGGGTTGAAATAACGAAGCCTGACGATAATTTCGGATGATCCGAGTGCAACTTTTTTTTAAACCTGTAAAATGTTTTTGCCCTTGCGAGAGTTGCATGATAATATAAATTTGGTTTCATTTGCACGTTTGGAGTGAACTATGACGCGCTGCCGAGTCTTACCAGTGGCGCTTTTTTCTGCAGATGAATTCCCATGGGCCTGCCTGTACCTGCCTAACGGGATGAAGCTCTGTGGGGAGACCCGACCTCCAGGTGAGGCCAGATATGTCTACGTGTGTGTGTGTGTGTGGTCATCCCAGTGCCTACACATATAAATGCAATGCATTGTGAGTCTATTGACCTATTCATTGGCTTTTCAGATCAATATTATTCAGCAGCACTTTTCAAGCAAGCAAACTTTGGACCGGTCGTCATCCCTTCTGAGGGACATGTCCTGCCCGTGTCCCCGCTTTTCTGGATGTGAAGTCTCTAACTTGTGTCCTCTCACAAACTGGAGACACAGCAGGATATGTATACCCACGGCAATTATTATATTTCCCACATACATACAATAATTCGAGGTGTATTTGTTTAGCAGACTTGTACGGGAGTGATTTTTGCTTAGTAAATTTCCCATGCTTTCCTGTAATTCATTTCCATCGGTTGTTGCAATAACTATGTCAACAGGAAGTTCGAGATTGCTAATTCTTTGTCCGTTTACGTGTATGCGTTTATTCCTCCAGTCCAGTGTTCAGAAAATGGTCTAGTATTGCTGCCTTCAATGGCCTCGGTGAGAGCGTATTTTCTTGCCCCGACTCCTCGTCTGAGTCGTATATTTCCGTCTAAGTACAGTGGTCCCTTCTTCACGAACAAAGTTTCGATCATTTTACTTAGATGTTTGCGAGTGAGGTGGACAGCTGGCTGGCTCATCGCCCAGATCGCCAAGCTGGCATCACCCGAACCCCTGGGTTTCAAGCCCGGGCTACAATACGTGATTAAACGGGGTTGTTGAGTGTTTTTAGCTCTGCACTTTATTTTGGATACATTTCAGCTCCAAGGATGAAATAAAAGCAACAATCTCACAGCGGGGGGTGGTGGATGGGAATAAGAAGGGAACTCTTTGGGGAGAAGTCTGGTGGAGAAAATCTCCTTCGCGTCCGTCTGCGACGCGTGGGGGCGCACCGCTGTGCTGCGAGGTTACCCGGTGGACTCGGTGTCTCGTGACGAGATGCCACAGTGGGATTTGCATCGGGCAAAAAAAGAATAAAGGAAGCCTCGGTTTATAGTGGTGGTAGTTTATTTGAAGTGCTCTGTGAGCCAAGGTGTTCTTAAGTCGGGTTTTAGCAACAAGAAAACAATGCCGCCGCTTCTCCGACATACGCAGAGGCTTGTATTGTGAGAGGCTTGTATTGCCACGTCGTTTGTTTATGCTAGAATGCCATTAATGGTGTGCGTGTGGTCAATGGCAGAAAGCCTTTCTTAAAATCCGGCTCGCCAACGCGCTTTATTGGTCTTTGAAATGTCCATTATTTGGTTCCCTAGGGTTTGGAGGCTATGCCCCTACAGCGGTCTGTGCCTGTGATCAAAAACACTAACCCGTCCGTGGATGTTTAGGAAGCCATCTGACTGTGGTTCTTTTGAATCCACAGCACTAAACATGGCTTAGAACCTCGGGCCAGATGGACCGTACGTTACGGCAAATGCAAGCACACGACTTGGCGCTGTGCAGCATTCTGTGTGAGAAACTGGCTTGTGGAATATTGGCCTTTGAGGTCACTTTGAAATATCGCATCCCAAAGCTCGCCCCCACAGTTGGCCCTTGCCGATTGCTTTAAAACCTTTGTTCTACATTTTTTTACGACCAATTCTGGCAGTGCCTGATAAGCTGCTATCTCCAGAGGCAACAACCTTTTCGGAATCCTGCCTAGCCCGTGCCGTGACAAAGGAGGTGGCGCATTTTCAAAAGACAGAGAGAGAGAGAGAGGGTCCATATTTGTCAAGCCTTGTGCGCATTGCAAGGTGGAGATTAAAGCGGAATTGTTGGTGCTTGGATGACTTTGGGTGGCTGCTGGGGTAGAGAATGCTTTGGTACGGAGTGAGGGCATGAGGCCGTTGGTGGGTGGAATCCTACGACGCAGCGATGTTCACGATAGATGCTCTCGCGTTCGTGAAAGGAGAGCGGGTGCCTTTGGGAAAGCCGGCTGCGCACGGCACGGCAGAAGCGTTCTCTGCAGCTGCGCAGGGGTGATGCACAGGCGTCGAAATAAAATCAAGCCTGCAGGTAAAGTGTCTTTCCATAAGATGTCGAATGTTGTCGGTGCGGATGGGCACGTTGTTTTGCACGCGTGTAATTGTTCTGCTGTTATGTGAATTCTAGATTTTAACGTCAAAATCATGTGCGACTCGTATGATGAATATTTCTGCCAAGGTAATCTAACCTTCATATTTTTTGTACGTCCGTTAGTCCTACATTATGTGAATTCGACTCTGCTTATCTGTATGGCTTTGTGAACAAGTTGAGTACGTGGTAAATCATGTAATCAAGGCTATCATAAGCGACGGAATATGATTCCTGTGCTTATTAAAAATACCACTACTCCCCAGAGTAGTACTCGGCAGGGTGGTGCTGAGTGGTAACACTCGTGCCTCACGGCAAGAAGAGCCTGCATTGGACTCCCCGCTTGGGTGCCTTTGTGTGTGGAGTTTATGTGTTCTCTCCCCCTGTTATGCATGGGTTTCCTCCGGCTTCTCCGGTTTCCTCCAACAGCTAAACACACACAATATAGCAGCTGGTATTGGCCAAACATCCCAACATAGCAGGATCCTCCTGAAAAAAAGCGTCTTCAGACTCTCTGTGGCTTTCCAAGTTAAACGAATAATTATTACAAGTATCACACGTGCTGGTTCCTGTACTGTGGTTGTACAGGGACTGATCCTGCTCTGTGTCCAGTAATTAACTGGAGTATAAATATTTTGCCGTGTTTTCCAGTTGCGTCCCTCCCAACAGTTATTTCCAATTCTTCACCGAACTTGTTTTGCTCGTAATTTTCCTAGAGGCAAACTTTGCATCGATGGCGAAAAGTGTTCACCGTCGCAAGATTTGTAGACAACATAGTTATTCAATCTTGATTTGAGTTATTGTGACGGCTGATGGAAATATAAAAAAAATCGGTTCATCGAAATAGAAGTCATTTTCTGGATATTCCGGCAGTCGGTGTGCCAGTCCTTGAGTTAGTTTGGACAGGGTCACATGTGAACACACGATCAGGACGGTGTTCATGCGCGAACATGGGAAGGGCGGCGTTCATGCATGATGCAGTCGGAGCGTGTCTGTGACCGCTTATGAAAATGGGGCCGGACGTAAGTGCTCAAGCCCTAGTTTAAAGACCTGGTGTTTTAGGTTGCGAGCAGAAGCCACTGTAGAGTTACAGCTCAAATTGTCAACCTGTAAAGTTACCACTGCAGCAAAGTTGTCAACAGTTTGTAACTGTTCAAATTACTCCTGCAGATTAATGAAAAAAGGTGATGGGCCTGATTAATGTGTTGGCAAAAAGTACTTTTCTGGCAGTGATCAGCAGAAACACTCTAAAGGAAACATTGGACATCTGCCGGTCTTTTCCACCTTACAGTGATGGCGACTGTCTTTCCTTCAAAACATTAATTATGGCCGTCAACTCTGGCGGGTCAATAATGCGGTTAAATTAAGCAAAAAAAAACCAAACTGGCAAGCCACACTCTTAACAGGAGCCTTAGTTTAGATTTCTGTGCGAAATAAGCGCAGGCGCACAGACGGATGATCGAACGGTGCGTAACCGATCAACCGCACGCTCGCCTTCTCGTGCTCGAGTGCTGCCACAGTTTAAAAAATATATAAATAAAGCTTTATGAACGTATTTTTGCCATCAGTATTGATAAAACAAACTATATTTTTGGTTTAGGTACATTGTGAGTTCTAGTTTCAAAACAATTTGTTCGGAGGTTTTATATAAATATATTTTGGGAAACCATGTAAAGTGTCCTTGGTTTGACGGATTACGCATGGACTGACATAATGGTTCCCGGGCATGTCGGCACTACACAGCCAAAGAAAGTAGCCCAGATGTTTACTTTTAGATTTTTTTTTCCATTTTTATACTGGTCATTGGCACAAAATTGTTTTTTTTTAACTGAACATTAATCAGCCACTCGCTTATTTATATAACTGCTAATGGCCACCCCACTCATCTGCATGCACTCTCCTGTTGTTGGAGCTCACGGCCTTGGAGCCCTTTTCCAGTGGGCGCGAGATTCGTAGAGCAACGCACTAACCACTACCCTACAGACACACGACAAAGATCCTCCTCCCCCCATAGCCTTTAAAAGACTGTTGGGTCAAGTGCAGTTATCGAGCGCCTATAAATGTCGGCACACAAACGGGGTGTGGGTGGCCAGCACCACGTGCGGCCACCTTTGTCTGTCCAGTGCGCGTGTTTACACCACACCGGGTGCTCATTTAGAGCCGAGTCGACCGAGGGGGGAGGCCCAGTACCGGTATAGACATTCACCACTGTTATCGTGAGCGGGAATCTTCACTCTGTTCTCCTGCTTCGAAGCGCGATGCGCTAATCACTACACCACCGCTCCCCACACACACACACAAACAGCCACGCATTCACGAGTCTCTGCCCCTCCCCTGCTCCCCGTCTCTGCCCTTTCCCCACTCGAGTGTTCTCCAACATACCCGGCCCCGCCTTGCCCACCCCTTGCCCACCCCTGTGTGCGTGTATCAGTGTGTAGGGAATAAAAAAAAACTATTTTTACTTTTGCCTAGTAGTTACTGGCAGATGGCCAACGTCAGTTCGGAAGCAACCAATTCCAATATTCTGATTCATCCCCAACGCAAAACCAGGTGCTGCCGCGCACTTTTACAACAAATGTTGTAAGACCGCAGCTTGATTTCATCATTCGTCGTTACCGGCAAAGTTTGCGCCGCCGAAGAAACATTTCTCCACCATGTGGCCAGTTCCGAGCGGCGATGGTTCCTCCGGATGGGAGGGAGCGCTTGCCCAATTTACTGCCTGGGTGTCTTTTTTTTCTGCCTGGGTGTCTGCGAGCAAGGAAGGGGGGTGCGTTTAGAACCCCCGCCCCCCGCTGCAGTGACCTCGGATGGCCATGCTGGGAGGAGCGCGCGTGTCCTGGTTTGAAGTTCCAGCACCATCGTAACACGGCGGATCTTAAGGGGGCTCGCGGTCACGCTCGCTCTCGCGCTTTCTCTCGAAGGACCGACGCCGCTGGTGCTCGTCGTCATTCCGCTGGGGAGGGGGGGTGAAATGAATCGTTAATATTGCGTACGTTTTTGTACGTATCACCCAGAATATGCCCTCCCTCGTCGGATATTGGGGGGAGGGGCTTAACAGGGTTCATCATAGATAATGCTCGAACAATCGGGTTGTATTATGCACTGCCGATTAGCACAGTTGGCTACGTGCGGTGCGAAATAATTTCAACATAGATACGTACATGTGGGGCAATATGGTGGGCAGTAGAGGGCATTTTGGCAAAATGCTGTTGTAATGTGCTACTATCCTCCCAACATCTCTGCTCCCCACCTTCACCAACTCACACCGACCAGTGTGGTAGAGTGTAGGGAGGCACTCATCCAGCAGTGAATTCACAAGAGACTGTACATTTAGTTATATGTTTGAGGGTTGCGTACTCTTGATCCTTTTTGCCTTCTGTCGTACTTAACGTTTGGTCTGGATTTAGACCCTATTATCCGTCCACATTTGAGAGCTGCTTTATGAAAATATGTTGAAGGACATTTAAAACATAATTCTGCTTTAAATAGCGCATTGTGAAACGACACAACTATCACCACTATCAGCCACATCCACTAGGTGCCTTTCTGCTACGTAGCCGTGGCTTGGCGTGTGGAACGCCGCATGTGTCTTGGCGTGTGGAAGGCATGTCTCATTCCTTCCCATTGCTCAGTTTCCTGGCCAAAGGTGGTGAGTCAGCCACTTCGCCCCATGCCGCTCTTGTGCGTGCGCGCATTATGTGGTTACTGCAAGGGCACACACGCGACTTTGCCCCACTGAAAACAATTAATTTACAAACTCTATTTTGTTTTAAAATTACAAATGTAGCAGCTGTTCTGGCTCTTTAGTGATGATTTTTTGTCAATTTTAAATGTGTTTCAGTATGACTATACATCTTTTTACTTTCCCTTTTTTAAGTTGGCTAGGTTCAATCGAGGGGCACATTGACAGCTGTGCGCTTACAAACGGTCTCTACGTTGCGCAACATGGGGTCATTCTTATTTCCACTTATTGCCAAGCAGATGTTTGGTTGCCAGGCATCGGAAAGAGGAACGGGCGAAGAGACCGTGCGCTCGAGCAGGGCATTGGAAATGACAGCCAGGAGGGGGCATGGAAATAGTGAACAAAATTTGCAACAAAAAAGTAACTAGAAAATGGACGTGGAGGAGTCCAATTGGCGAAATAAAAAATGACGTTCATGTCGACGACGACGGACGGACGAGCTCCACAAAGCCGGAGATATCGTGTCCTCAATTTGGCACAGGAAGCAATTGCAGGACGGGCATTGCCGCCCGTCACGCGTCGACATTGCCCAAAGGGAGGTAACATCGTTTGTTGCCGTCGACTATGCGACGGGCGAAACGTCCCGAAACGTAGTCCCCCCAAAAAAAGGGTGGAGGATCGAAATTGATGCTGAGCGATGGATTCAAACCCCCTAAAGAAGCAACGTGATGACGAACAGCGTGCCAGCCATATGGAACAATGTTGCCCGCGTTGTCATAGACAGTGCGGTGATGGCGCAAAATAAAGCGAGGAGGAAGTGGGAAAACAAGTGATCTGGAATCATTACAAAATACGTGACACAGAATAGGGTCGTACGAGGGCGTAATGTAAAATGGTAACATTCGCTCTCAAACCGTGACGGATAATGGATATGAACCGAAGTCGGGGGAGCAAAGTACAAATGTGATTGAAGATGTCAGAGTAAATGATCTGAGCATGAAGATTAGAAAAATGAAGTTGATCTGAAATTACAAATGATAGCTGTTGGAGGAGCAAGATGGAACCATATTGCACGATTGGGACAGAATCACACATCGAATGGAGGGATTTGGCACCGATCTCAATAGCAAATAATATTGATACTAATCTTATTCTGCAGAAAAAGAACACCAATTTTCGTTTTCAGTTCAGGAAGGTGACTTTCCAAATGATGTTACAACTGAGGAAGTAGCCACTGCTCCCTGCACGTCATCAAGAAAGG